AAATTTCTGAAATAGGAGAGCTACAAGGAAGACTGTCTCATACAGTATCACAAATGGTCAGTTCTTCATCCGGCCCAATAAAAGAGATTTTTATAAAAGAGCAACCCATCTCAAATAGACCCTTTGAGTTTCTTAAACCCAAAATGTTTTTTAGGCCTTATTCTTTATTAGAACCTTTCCCTTTATCAATCATAGAAATTATCAGCCAAAAAGTGCAAGCCCAGCACTTAGCAAAATTAGAAACAGTTCAAAAATACTTCAAAGAAATAGCAACCAAATCCAATACCAACTACAGCCTTAACATCAGTCCATTTTACTGGATCAACCCACATAAAAAATGCTCAAATAATCCAGAACCTTGTGACCACCAAAAATACAGAAACCATTGTGTACATACACTTGATTTTCTCATACTCAGAGCATCCATTAAACTACACAGATATACTCCAGTAGTCCTTATGGTCAATCAAGAAAGAATAGTTCTTACATCACAGTTCTTAATGGACTGTGGATTCTTAAAAGAATTTTGAATTTCTGATCCTGATGACTGATATTAGCTAGGAACAAGTTTAGCATATTTTTGTAGACAAATGCTAAATTATGGACAATGGATTCAAGTAAAAATTAAATCAGCACCAACAGAATGGATTGGACTCATTGATTTAGAAACAATAATTCATAGAATAAAGATTCAAGTTAGCAATGTTTATCCAACTCCACCAGCAGCAGCAAGGATAATAATAGCAGAATGTCCTTTAACACTAGAAGAACAACTTTGGAATTCAAAGGCTATGCACTTAGCCTATAGACATTTTAAATCCGGATGGTCATACTTCAGATTGACAGCAAAAAACAAAATTCAGAAGATCTACACTCCCTACCGATATAATCTGAAAAAGACTTTATAGTTCAAACAATTTATCCAGAACTATTCCAACAGTACTTAAATGATTATATGGGAGAAAGAGCTCAGCCAGAAGACATTAAAGAAGGACAAGAAAACAACGATCATTATTGACAAATAATTGGACCAGAAGAACTCCACAACATCGAAAATATGATGGAAGAATAATAGGACCCGGACACATTATTGTATATACCTTACAATTGTAAATAAAAGCATTAAAGAAATTGTCGGCCATATAGCTCTTTGACATAGCTTTTTGAAAATTTTGGCCATTGTTGGCCTCATAGATTAGACACCGGATTCCAACTAAGTTGAAATCCGCAAAAATAATTAGGAAACACAAGTCTGGATTTCAAATCTGAACAACAAGCCTATAAAAGCACCAGTCTCAAACCATTGTTGAGTACGATGCTTTCATAACCTGTAAATTACAAAGCATTCCATATATTCAGTTCTAAACACCCTTTGCAAAGCTTAATCTTTCTAGTCATCTTATTATTGAGAGAAAAGGGAAACACAGAATAGAAATTAGTACAGCCTACCCTAGATTTAATCCAAATAACCGAAAACTTTGAGAGAGATACCCTATTTTGGAGTTTTAAAAGTCCAAAAGACAGTGTAGTACCCATCTTAGCTGTTCGGTCAAGAATACTGCAAGGCGTAAGGGGAAGATCTGGTGAGGCAAACCTCTAAAAAACAAGATTCCAACTCTCGTAGCATCAGAAGGAAACTTTGGAATTAAAGCAAGAAAAGTATAATTTCTATAACCTCTATCAAGTACCGAGTCCTCATATAATTTTTGAACCAAAAAGTTTATCATATAGTTTATAATTTCTGCATATAAACTCTGTATGAATTTTGAACCACCTTTTCAGTTCACAACTAGTCAAGAAAATTCATATAGAATAGCATTAGCAACTCTTAAACAATCAGATACTTATTATTATTTTGATAAAATTTTAGAAGATTTAGAAATATCAGATCAGTGTTTAGCATAAATAGAAATAGAAGAATCTAGATTAGCAAAAGTAACACATCACCATCCCTCATCATTTCTCAGAAATATTAGACGAGCAAAAGTAGATTTACTTTGGCACAAATATTCTGAATTGAAATCCATAGAAAGACAAAAATTAGAAGAAAAGGAAAAATATTACTCCCTCCGTCCCATTGTGATAATCCTGTATTCCTTTTTCATCTGTCCCAAATTGTAGTCCATTTTCCAATTGAAGAATGTAGTTGTATTTTAATTTTTCTAAAATACCCTTATTCAATGTAAGTAGTTGTTACTATAAATCTATCCCATTTAATGAGAGTTAATTCTTTTTTTACCATCAATTCAAGTTCCCATAAAGTTGTACCATATTTAATGTGAGGGTATTTTAGGAAAATAGCAGTCTAAATTTACTTTTCCAACAAAATTAACTACTTTTTCTTAAACTGTGTGAAAAAAGAAATCAAGGTGGGACGTACGGAGTAAAATAAAAGGAATTTCTGTAAAAAAATCTGTGGAATATTTGATTAAGCAATATAGGTCTTTAACCGAAACCTAATAGTCCGGCCATTAATTATACTAATATATTATATAATTATAATGTATATTATATATCAAATATAATTATTATTATATTTATAATAATATATATAAATATAAATATATAATATATTATTATTATGTACACATATATATTATAATTATATGCACATATAATATACATTTATAAATATATTATTATATAATATTAATAAATTTATAATATCTATCATATAAACATAATTATATTTAATTAAATAATTATAATATAATATTTATATTATATATTATATATGTGTATATAATAATTATATATATAAATATATTTATTATTATAAATATATTATATAATTATACTTATATGCACATATAATATACATTTATAAATATATTATTATATAATATTAATAAATTTATAATATCTATTATATAAACATAATTATATTTAATTAAATAATTATAATATAATATTTATATTATATATTATATATGTGTATATAATAATTATATATATTTTTTGACATGCATATAGGAGATTTAAATAAATTAAAAATAATCAAAAGAAGTACCAGTTCACATAGAAGTGCAGCATTCATAGTTAGAAAACATAGTGAAATAGTCAGAGGAAAAAGTAGAATGGTAATAAATTATAAAAAATTAAATGATAATACTAAAGAAGATAGTTATGACATACCAGATAAAAATGAACTAATAAATAGAATTCAGTATAGATATATTTTTAGCAAATTTGATTGTAAATTAGGATTTTGGCAAGTAAAAATGCACACAGATAGTATAGAATGGACAGCTTTTACATGCCCCTTAGGACATTTTGAATGGTTAGTAATGCCTTTCGGATTAAAAAATGCACCGGCAATATTTCAAAGAAAAATGGATAATATTTTTAACAAATATAAAGAATTTGTCATAGTATACATAGATGATATATTAGTATTTTCAAAAAATAAAGAAGAACATGTTGGGCACTTAAAGTTAGTTTTCGCAGAATTTATTAGACATGGAATAATAATTAGTAACAAAAAGGCACAATTTTTTAGGAAAAATATAGAATTTTTAGGAACAGAAATAGGACAAGGAAAAATAAAATTACAACCACATATTTGTAAAAAGGTATTAGAATTTCCAGATAAAATAGAAGAAACAAAGAAATTACAACAATTTCTAAGACTACTAAACTATGCCAGACCTTTTATAAAAAACTTAAATAGTTTAGTAGCACCATTATATAACAAAACATCTTTAAAAGGACAAAAATTTTTTAATAAAGAAGATATAAAATTGGTCCAAACAATAAAACAAATAGTAAGTAAACTAACAGATTTAAAATTACCTTTAGATACAGATTATTTAATAATTGAATGTGATGACAGTAGTGTTGGCTATAATTTACTAGATTTATTTAATAATATTTATATTATATATTATATATGTGTATATAATAATTATATATATAAATATATTTATTATTATAAATATATTATATAATTATACTTATATGCACATATAATATACATTTATAAATATATTATTATATAATATTAATAAATTTATAATATCTATTATATAAACATAATTATATTTAATTAAATAATTATAATATAATATTTATATTATATATTATATATGTGTATATAATAATTATATATATAAATATATTTATTATTATAAATATATTATATAATTATACTAATATTATAATAAAATATGTAATTATAATTATAACGTATATTATATATAATTATATATATGTATATATAATTATATATTAATTATTTTAACGAATGGCAGGGACAGGCCCTGTTTCTAAACGGGTATCAAACTTAGGTTTTGTCCAAAACCCTCCAGGTTATTAGGGAATTGGAGAACTCCAAATTTTTAGATATAATTCCAAAATTTCAATTCCAATAATAGTAATCCAAATAATAATTATGAAATTTTTTCCAATTCTCCATTCCAAAACCCTCTTACCAAACGCTATATTGCATGGATGAACCCAAGGATTTGTTCTTGATGAGAACAAGACTGGTTAAATACATGCTCAAGTCGCGGAAGAAGAACATGAACTCAATCAACATCCTCTCTCCCTCCCTCCTTGGAACATGAATGCTCTTTGTTTCAAGTGCTTTTGCCATTATCCACTTGCGACCACAAAACCATATGCTAAGACCTTTCTACCAACAAACAATGAAAATATGGACCTCCCTCTTGAATTATAGACTTGTATAAAGAAGATGCTTCAAGACAACTCAGTTACACCCGTTAAAGAGTGATTATGGTCCTGGGAATTATTAACAAACTTTGGAAGATACTCTTACATGTTATAGCTTTTGAGCTAGCACTGCCTCCCACGCGATAAAGAGAAAAGAATCAACTCCACAAGCAATAACATCACAAAACACTAGAAACCATTTTACACCAGCTTTCTTTTGTGTCTCTCAATCTAATTTTGTCTCTTACACTAAAAGGAAAAGGAAATGGTCCTTTATGTAAGTTGGAAGTGGAACCAAAGGCAAACGACAAAAGCATATTCCATCTTCGCTTTCCATTGTTAGAATCCCAATCTGAATAGTGGGGTTTCACCATCCATGCAAATTTACAAACTCAATTCAACTCCGATTCTTGTAGAATTCGCTGATATCTCTAAATTGTAAGTTAGACCAGAAGCATGTTGTGATTTTGTCTTGTAACATTCCACGAATTAAGGTAATCTTCACAAGCCATGCATGGGATTGATGCAACAATATTCAAAGTACATCTAAAGAAACATACGAATCAAGCATTTAAAAAATTTCTCACCCGCATCATGGATCAGCCAAAAAAGGTTCAGGATGCCTATAACCAAACTGTGTGAGCCATGGTCCAGAAACTGTGCGTCCTGCTCTGAATCCTATCACCGGCTTTTTAGTATCAAAATCTTGGAGCTGCACCAGCATATGACAATTTTCAAAGGTAAGTTCAAGGCAGAAAACAAGCACAGCCATCTTCTTAAGTTGTGTATGCTTTTCTGTAAATAACGCAACATGGAGTCAGCCTACCACCACCAATTGTAGCTTCAGGTAACCGTTCGATGGAGTACTTGTGCTGAGTAATGTACATTATTGGTACACCGGGGACCTACTTGAAAATCAAACCTCAGTTACATTATTGGAGAACAGTAAAATGACATGAAATTAATAATCAAGCATATCACACTTTCCGTATCCTTCGCTTTAAGTCTCAATCACATGTTGCAACAATGTAACATTTGTGCTGTTTTCAGCAAACAATAGGTTAGAGCAGGAAAGAATAAAAGCAAGGGAACAGCTTAACCATTAGTTTCTGCATTCGCTCCCATTGACAAGTAATAATACATAGCAACCAGCATCACTTCATTGGAGATTAAGTTCAGAAAGCTTTCATGTGTGATAAACATATTAAAAAAATACATAAACAAGATCAGTTTACCTTAGTTTTGAGACACCACAAATTACAGAATTTATTTAAGTGAGATTATACCTGATTGACCCTTTCTACCATGCAATCATCAGCATATGTTCCTTTATGCGTACAGGGAAGCCTTTCAAATCGAGGATCCTTTGCAATTCTGGTAAAAGCAAAAAGCAAAAACAGAAAAGTTTGTTATTCTTAAGCATAGAAATTTAACATGCATTATGCATAAGATATAAAGAACACTTGGTAGTTAATTAGTAATTCTCCTATAGAGTATATCACGATTTATTCACAATCTAAAAATGCAAGGGCCTAATTTTTTACCCAAATTGGTCTTCCTCTTATGAAGACCAAAGTTTTAGGACCACGTAACCAACGTATAACCTTATTCAATAACATAACCATGCAGAATTGCAACCAAAAGACATGAAGAATATTGGATTAGAAATTTAATATGTGAAAATAATATATCATCTATTATCATCTACCACGTTCTTAACCAAAAACACAGGTAATGACCATCTGAGTTTTCTTTCAGCTTGTTCAAACACTAAGCTAAATGATAAGAGCATTTTATCGGAACAGAAGTTCAGGAAAAGGTAAAGAAACAAGATTATACCTTAAAGCAACACGATATTTTTGACCCAGCTTCTCAAGCTCAGCCATTACACAGTCAGTGATACAAGGAGTGCCTGTAGAAAGATCAATAAATGATATTAGCTTAAGAAATGTGTTCTGGGTAGAAACTGGTAAGAATGATAGCATAAAACGGAGAAGTCAGAAATGTTCAGCACATATCTAGACCAACAGATAAAATGTCTACAAACTCAATTTTGATTATGAGATTCTTTTCTGCACAATATACAGCACTTAAGCAAGGTGCACGTTCACAACTCAGGAATCTTGAGAGTTCTAGATTCAGCAACCAATAATCCCATTATAGAATGGCATTCCACAGCTATGTTGGAGAGTTTTTACGCCCCCCCCTTCTTCAATTTAGTGACTTCTTCTGGGATATTTGAAAATCACAAGATGAGCTATGAGTTGATTTTTTGTTCCTTTAATTGATACATGACAGGATAAGATGTAGTTCTCATGTGGTTGACTAAAAATAAGCTGCCTATAGAAAATGAAGACTACTCATTTTACTCCAGTTCCCAGAAGCAAATGACGTAGAGCTCCTTGTTACATTACATCAACCATAAAGTTCACTTGAGCGATCAATTCCCCCGTTTCACAGAAACAACATGACGCAACCATGTCCTTTTTAAATTATGAGCAGAAATATCAAGATACAAGAGATAGCATAGTCAATTGATTACCCGATTTTACAAAACAAGAAGATGCAAAAATAGACCTTCTTGTGTTTTGAGCAGAAACATTAAAGTGAAGACATTCAGAACACTAAAAAACTTTAGTAACAATAATAAAAAGGAGAAGAGAAAAAACAGAAAAATAACAACAAAATTGACAAACAGACAATGTTGATAGCAACAATAGAAAAAATGATTAGATGGCATGCTTCAACTTACATTTTGCATACAAGCAATCCATCATTCCTTTCTCCAAATCCAACTGAATAGAAAGTTTAAAACCAACAAGAAAATCAGTATTTCACTCAATATGTCCTCACAAAGGCAATGATCCTATCTCATCTGTTATGCAAAAGCAAAGTTCCCCTCCACTCCACCCCACAATAAAATGTTGCCAGTGGGAACCATTGTCTTTCAACAAAATTAAGACCAAATATAACTGAAGATTAACCTACTTTTGTGGACATATTTTACAATCTCTACTACATTTCATGCTAATATCTTAACTAAATTAACTACCATTTTAGGCTCTCAGATAAGAAAGAAGAAAACTAAACTATATAAACACGTGTATAGTTTCATCCATGTATCAACCCACATTTTAGCACCCTTCCAAAAGAAATCCTGTTTTCACAAAAGATTCACTATAAATGATAGGGCAAAGCACCACAATCACAGCACCAAATACAAAATCATAAAAATGGTTATCTTCTGATTAAAGCATTACATCTCCTTTAACAAATATCATCAAGCGAAGACTTATCATATACAACACCAAGAACATATGCAACTAAAATTCAGAGCACTCACTTTATTTTGAATAGAGAAATTGATAAAATTAGTATCGACCAATATCCTGTACGGCGGACCCAATGCAGTATTGTGCTTGAAGAAAAGCGCAGATGAAACATTTGGTCTGCATCACACAATCAACAACTCTCACTCAATCAATACACAAACAGTGACTTAATGAAAAATATATCCCAAAAAAGGCAAAATCTTTGAACATAATCCTCTAATTAACAGTCCCTATTCCTCATCTTAGAACAAGAGTTGGATCCCAACCATCCACATTCCCCTCCCCTCTTCCAAAAAGTAAAACTATACAAGAATAATTCTTCGAATCAAACAAAACCCACCACTAAAATCCTTCTTCATTGCATCAGAATGATTGTTCTATTCCAGCCTTCCCACCCCTTCCCTGCCCTCTTAAAAGAATTATTTACAAAATAAAAAAATTGAGCTAAAAAAATGGAGTAAAGGGGTAATGCATACACGTTTCTGGGAAGCTTCTCCTTAGTCAAATCTTTCTTGTTAGGGTTCAAAACCTCCTCTTTATGCCTGAGCATAAAGAAAATTTCAATTCATGAGCAATTTATACCAAAAAAAAAAAAAAAGGCTGACCAATTGTGAATTTAGATACATAAAAGGAGCAAAAAGCTGAGCTGAGAGCTTACTGTTTAATGGCTTTGGAGGTGACCATTTTCTTCATCACGGCGAATTTCGGTGCCTTCTTAGCTTTCCCTATTTTTTCCCAGTTTTCTTGGTTTGGCGATTGATTCAACGCCGGAAAAAACCACTCCAGCGGTGGAACCTGCAAAACCCCAAAACCCTTTTGATTCCGCAAAGATGCGGTTGGCGGTTGGGTTGGGTAAGGCAGTGATGGGCGGTTTTCCAGTTCGACCATCCGGGTCTTTTACTCGGTTCGACCATTGGGCCTTTTGTCTGATTTTGACTTTTCATAAAGTTTTCATGTGATACCATGTAGAGCTGTATTCTAATCGAGTCGAGCTCGAGTAGTACACGAGATAAAAATAAACTAAGTTTGAACTCAAGTTTGAGCTCGAGCTCATCGAACTTTTAGAATTCGAGCTCGAGCTCGACATCAATTTATGTTACTCGAGCTCGAGTTTAATTAAATGTAATCAATTCAAATCAAGCTCAATCGAGCTCAATCAAACTCACATAATAAAAATTGATATTTTACATATAATTTTAAATAAAGGATATTAGTGACATTTCACAATAATAAAAATTAAAATTATATTATATAAAACTCGATTAGACTCGTCGAGCTTTCGAGTGCAAAATATTGAAGCTCGAGCTCGACTCAAGGCTTCTGGGGGTTCAAGTCAAGCTACTCGATTCAACAGCAGCCCTAATTCCACACACCAACTGTTACTTATTACAAGTAGCTATTAAACACAGAATATGGTGAGCATTTTTTACATCCAGGGGAATCAATTGTGAGTTTATATTCTATTTTCATGTATAAGATTTTAACTATAAATTTAGATTATGTATTATGCATTAAACCTTGTTCATTAGCGTACAAATGCATGTAAGAATTCAAACTTGAGAGATGTTGATATACTTTTTTCTTTTCAACTTTTGATTTGGATAACAAATTTTGCAAACAACATATGAATCCCTATTCGCTACTATTATTTAACTAGAGTATATAGCGGAAAATGGTCATTCAATTATTTAAAATCGTACCATTTGGTCACCAAACATTTTTTAATCAAAAAGGCCATTAAACACGTGAAAGTATTTTTAAGTCAGTTTGTTAAATTCTAGTATTAAGATAGCTAGAAATGCATCCACTTGAATAGTACACTTGGATTTTAAGGGCAAAAATGCCTCGCAATCTTTGATGCATATTTAAAAAACATAAGGATTTTTTATGTTATCAAACTTTACTAAAGCTCTATTTGGATCCTTCAGTTTTTCAAAAACTAGTTTTTCAAAGGTATTCTAAAAGTAGTCTAATTTTTTTTAATTTTCAAAAAATATTCCAAAAAATATTTTAAAAACTCCACTACTCTTAAATATTTCAAAATATTTTTTAAAAGTATTCCAAAATATACTCTAAAAACTCTACTACAGTAAAATTTTTCAAAAACACCCCAAAAAATAGCTAATTCAAATGGACCCTCTTTCCGGATATCAATCAAGATTTTCTAAAACAGTGTTAAAGATTGCAATCATAATCTGAAGAGAATAGATAACGTTGGAAACTGAGAAGGTTCTTCATTTTTTTCAAATGCGTTTTAAAAGATTATGAGATACTTTTGCGATTGAAAAATTAAGCGCACCGCTTATGTGATTGCCATTTTGACTATCTAAACATCAAAAGTTAATGGAATAACAAAAAAAAAAGTATACTTTTATGAGTTAAGTGAACTTTTTGGCAAAAAAAAAAAGAGGAAAAATTTGACGACTAAATGATGAAATGTTAAATAGTCACATGTCCCTTTTTGCCATTTGCTTTTTAAATCACTAAACTATCATTGTCACTCGTCACCTCTTTAAATAAAATTTGAGATAAATTAAATTTTAGTATATTAGAATATGTAATGTATTTTATTTTTATAAAATTTACCCCAAAAAATCTACTAATATATTTTGGTTATATTTGTATATTTCAAATTTGTGTCACTCTCATGACAAGTACTTGCTTTTCTTTTACACTCATTTTGGGCCACTAGTCAAGTCATTGACAAAACTGCATGGGCCACGCTCGGGCGAGAACGGAGAGAGGCCTCGGTTAGTAGAACTTTCTTCAGATCCTTTTCTCAAGCTGATAAATAGACCATTTTCTTGGGTTTTTTTTTTTTTCCATAGAGAAACATTTCTCGCACCGCTGCTTCTTCTTCTTCTTCTTCTCGGTCAATCTGTAAGTTTTGATCTTTGCAGAAACTGGGCCTTTTGGTATTCATTTAGATTTAGCATTTTTTAATGTTTTTTCCCCTTTTTCTAATGGAGAGCAATATATAATATGTTGTTTTTTATTTTTTTGGGTGGTTAATTGGTTAAAGCTCTCAAAGGATTCTTACATTTGAGATCTGGGTTGTAAGGTGTTTCAGTTTTTAGGATTTAGGTACCTTATTCGACTGTTTCAATTTGTTGTCCGTGTTTTCAATTTTCAATATTTTTCCCTTAATCTCCACTTTTTTAAGTCATAGCTACTCTTTTTTTTTAACAGAAAAATCTGTTTTCTGCTTTTCTCGAGTTTGTTCTGAACAAAGTTATGATTTCGTTGTTTTCTTTCCTTGGTGATTTTGTATTTTTGTTTTATACATGCTTTTTAAAAAAAAAAATTTTTCTTCAAGATCTGCATTGCACACATTGAATGAACTTGTGAAATTACAGCTGTTATTAGTTTAATGCTATAGCCATTGCTGGCACATCATATAAGCAAAGGGCATTTGGTTGATTGTTTATTTGAAATTACTCTGATCATTAAGAGTTGTTAATTCTTTCGGATTTGTAGCCTCTTTGTTCTGCCTGCTGATACTGGAGTTTGTTTTAATGTTGTGTGTGCAAATCCAGAATAGAGACTTGTATTATTTTTGTAGTAATAGTTACAACGATTATCATGGCCTTGAGTTACCTTTTCAAGAACTTGTTGATATAATTTTTCTCATTGGTTGTATTCATTTTGCTTTTATCCATGAACCTTTTCACGATATTGCTTGACTGTTCAATAAATAAATGAACTTTTACTATCTAACACACGAATGTGATAGGGACCTCAACCTGCATATTGTGTAGTGCTCCCACCACTCCCTGCTATACTCACTCCTTCCAATCTCAATACCACGTATACTACACATAATAAATATCCTAGACCTTTCCCCAAATCACCCAAACCAGAGAGTAAAGTTCTCACTTTCATTAGTCAATGATGTTTGTTTAATAGTCTTCCTTTCTCAGGACCCAATTCAGTTACGCTTATTTTTCTTATTGTGTTTTTGGTGTATAATAGAAAAAAATTGATCGATGAATTTGCCATTTGATTTTTTCTTTTTCCCCAAATACTAACTTTACTCATCCGTCCGTACATCTGATTGTTGGTTTTCCCCATTTAGATAATACATACACCATCAGGTTGAATAGTACTAAGGGTACGCAGCAGCAGTAATAGTGCCAGTAGAGAGACATCAGATATGGCTACAAAAAAGAGCGTTGGATCACTCAAGGAAGCTGATCTGAAGGGGAAGAGGGTGTTTGTGAGAGTGGATCTGAACGTTCCTTTGGATGACAACTTCAACATCACCGATGACACCAGGATCCGCGCCGCTGTCCCAACCATTAAATACTTGATCGGCCACGGTGCTAAAGTCATCCTATCTTCTCACCTTGTATGTATCTCTATCTAGTAGTATTCAGCACTTGACATTACCTTGTGAACATTTTGGAGCTATTTGATGGATGTTCTTGCCTGATTTCCCAATTCTTGCATGTTACTCTGCATTCAGATCAGTTAATACTAGATCCATCGCAATTCAATTCATTTGATGTGTATATTCTTTTTATGATTATGCAAATGTGTCTGTGTTTGATAAATCAAGTTTAAGCCAAAATCGGTGTTCAAACTGATGAGCATTCCTTTTTTTTCCGTCAAGTTTCAGTTCTTTTGTAAATTCTGGTATTTTTCTTGTTTCTGATTGTTTTTCGTAGTGCAATCTATACCTTTAAACATATAAAACTCGTTGATCAATGTGAACGGCCGAAATGAACTTGGTTTTCCCACCCAATCTTGAGATTACCTCGCATAAATTACTCTAGGGACAAGGATTATGTGGGAGCCGTATTATTCACTGTGTATCCTTGGAGTTTTGGGTCTATTTGGATTTTGCTTATGAATTGCTGCTGTTTTGATCTTGTAATTGTCAGCTTTTGGTTTTGTAGCAAATGAAATGATGTATTTTTCTGATATGGGTCTCAGGGACGTCCAAAAGGTGTCACCCCAAAGTACAGCTTGAAGCCCCTTGTTGGCAGGCTCTCTGAACTCCTTGGTGTTGAGGTATGCTGTTAAGTGCACTTCCAATTTTTTTTCTTTCTTGCTTAATTTTCAAAGGCTAAGAGGCTGTTCACTCACATTTTATATCTGTACTCAATAGGTCAAGATGGCGGATGATTGTATTGGTGAACAAGTTGAGAAATTGGTGGCTACCTTGCCAGAAGGAGGTGTTTTGCTCCTGGAGAATGTGAGATTCTACAAAGAAGAAGAGAAGAATGATCCCGAATTTGCAAAGAAGTTGGCTTCTCTTGCAGACTTGTATGTTAATGATGCTTTTGGAACTGCCCATAGAGCCCATGCTTCAACTGAAGGAGTAGCCAAATACTTGAAGCCTGCTGTTGCCGGATTTCTGATGCAGAAGGTTAGTTTTCACTTTGTTAACTCTTCACTTTCTTCATGGGCATGCGCAATTTGCATAGTAAATTTCATCCTGTCATCCCCTCTTCAGGAGCTTGATTATCTCGTTGGAGCTGTGGCAAATCCCAAGAAGCCATTTGCTGCAATTGTTGGTGGTTCAAAGGTCTCAACCAAGATTGGTGTTATTGAGTCACTGTTGGCTAAGGTTGACATCCTCTTACTGGGTGGTGGAATGATCTTTACATTTTACAAGGCCCAAGGGCACTCTGTTGGATCATCACTTGTGGAGGAGGACAAGCTTGATCTTGCCTTATCACTCATTGAGAAGGCTAAGGCCAAAGGAGTGTCCTTGTTGCTTCCCACTGATGTAGTTGCTGCTGACAAGTTTGCTGCTGATGCTAACAG